CGCCAGTATGTAAGGATACCTGGTTACGAGTATCACGAAAGTGGTGTGATTGTATCACTTCATGGAACTTGCAATTGTAATTTTCGCTGAAATCTACGTGTAGCGCTATTTTTTCTTCTGTCAATCCATCTATACAAGATCTGTAGTTTCTATACTGAGTTGAGTCATGTCTTTTATTAAACGTTTCTTTTTATGATATCTCTCTAAATCCTTCTTCTTAGTTTCCGCTACCTCTTCAGGGTTTTATTTGCACTTTTCTTTATAGCGCCGCTGCTTTTCAGCAGCGGTGAGAGCCATAGCGAAGTACTATGTATTATCTAGAATAAATGATGTAATTTATTAGATAGCTATTATATAATATTGATTCCTACTAACATAGATGCAGAGATACGGATACACAGACGCCAACGATGGCTTGTAACAGCTTAGTAATAACAACTCTGTTACCTCTCTACAACTCTGTTACCAGTAGCTAGTAACATAGTTGTGCAGTAACAGAATGGTAAATTTAACTTTAGTGACATTTTTTTTAGAAATGAAAGTTTATTATGTACAAAGAAAAGCACATTCGATATATCTTACACTAGAGCTACTTCAATAATATAAAACTATACGCAAATATCTGAATACTTATGCGAAAACACAGGTAACAGAGTACACACAGAATAAAACCACGAGCCTCACACCGCAGCCATCGGATAAATGAATCGTGTACCCGCGCCTCAACCGCCGCAAACCGTACGGATAGAACAGTAGATATTTATGATGAAACAATTGCCAAAGAATGGATAGTGCCATCTCTTGGTATTTATCCGGTTTACTATAGTAAGAGAATGTAGCTCTAATATTTTGAAGACCTTGGGACAAAATTTAAAATAATCGTACAAGCTTCAATTAATTTATTTAATATGGATGAAGTATGTTTTTAAATGTGTTATGATTGCTTTATTACACTAGCTTTCAAACATAACAATTACATTGAATTGATAAAAAGATATTATGATTTTCGCATGATGCACTGCATATGGGACAGAATTTTTTTGTATGGAAAACAACTATGTTACCAAGAATGACCACTCTGTTACTTGATAAAAGTGGTGATAAATCAATAATAAAATTAATTTTTCTTGAGAATAAGCTTAGTAATTCGCCCCATATTTGACAAATTCAATAAAATTATAACAGTTTAATTAATATCACCGAGAAGAAAATATTTTTGCTCAGGGACGAATTTATCTGCAACCAATTTTAAATTGACCCCCTTACAAATACTTATTCTGTGCAGCATTCGAACCTGTGACCTTTAGTGCCGCAACTCAATGCTAGCCACTGCTCCGCGAGCTGTCAATGTTGTTTAAATGACATTTAGTTACTTACAGAATATATTTACAAATAAAAGAAATTGTTAAAATAGTGTCTTAAAAATAGGATGGTGGTGGTAATGGTGTTAAAGCAACATTCATTAAAAAAAAACAAGTTGTATTTAATGTTTATAAATTTATAAGGCTGTTTGAAATTTAGAGATTGGTTGACCAATGCTGGGATACATGATATAAATAATGATTTGATAATCTCTAATTTTCAGATCACATTAGCTGACCTTAATTTGGAACAAAGGAATGTCATTCAACATATTGCAGGTCCATCAACTAATAAACAACCACTGTCTGAAAATATTCAGAAGACTATAACTGTTTCAAATGTATTTGAGCCTGTTGCGGGTTCGTCAAAATTTATACAACCCTTGTGTGAGAAAGTAAATTATAAAACCATTCCTGACAAAACTAGTGATATTCCTCAAGTAACTGAGAATATCAACCCTGTTGCTGCTGCAAATCCATCCACGAAAAACAAAAAGGATAAAGATATGTTGATAAAAATGAAATATCATCTGAGAAAAATTAACAGGCTTCAAAAAACTGTAAAGCATCTAAAGAATGAAGCATTTCTCAAAGTATTGAGCAAAAATGATTCCGTAAATGAAATATTAAAATGTAAAATATCCCCCACTTTTGCATTATTTTTGCAAGGAGAATTGCAAAACTATAAAAAAAAATCAAAAGGTCGAAGATGGAACATGGACTCCAAAATAATAGCACTAAGACTGTATAAAAGGTCACCTAGGTGTTACAAATTATTAAGAAGGATGATTTGCCTGCCAACACCTAGTTCATTAAAAGCGTTATTAAGCAAGTTTCACATGAAAGTTGGTATTAATGACCAAATTTTTAATGTTTTAAAAAAAAACAATAAAGCAAAAGACTCCCTCAGACAATGAGTATATCCTTATGTTTGATGAGATGTCAATAAAAAAGAATTTGTTTTACAACAAAAAGGAGGACATAATTGAGGGTTATCAAGACCATGCACTGCAGGGCAGGTCACCACAAATGGCAACACATGCCCTCGTGTTCATGATTGGCGGAATCCGTAAAAAGCTGAAACAACCAATTGCTTATTATTTTTCTAGTGGATCTGTGACTGCAGATAGGCTGTCAGTTCTTATAAAGGAGGTGAGCATGGTCTTTTATTTGTTATTATGTCAATATATGTAGTAGTACTTTTTTACCATATTCATTTACCCTTTTATCATTCTAGGTCCTGCAACATTGTTTTGATGCTGGAATTAATATTTCAGCTACAGTGTGTGATATGGATGGTGTGAATAAGAGAGCTTTAAGTATCTTGGGAGCATCTGTAGAGCTGCCATATATTCTGTTAAATAATCGAGAAGTGGTTACCATTTTTGATACTCCGCATTTGCTGAAATGCTTTAGAAATATGTTTTTAAAATATGACATTAAATGTCCAACAAATATAACATCAAATGATCAAATTGGATTTGGTAAGATATTTTGTTTTATTACAATCATAATATTATACATATTTCCAATTTACTGGATATTTACACAAATTTTTTTTACAGGTGTTGCTAAATGGAGCTATATAAAGGAGTTTTATGAAACAGATAACATCAATCCCAATTTTGTGTTTGCACCTTGCTTAAAACAAGAACATTTAAATCCAAATACGAAGCAGAAGATGAAGGTGAAGCTAGCTGCACAAGTGTTAAGCCACTCAGTTGCTGCAGGAATGTATGCTAAAATTTCACAAGGTAAATTAAATTTATAATTTAAAGTATAATATTTAAACATATGTCCACCCATTAAAATAATTATTAACTTAAAAAGGAACTAGGCTCTCCCAAGTACAAATTATTGTTTATTGTGTGATACTGATATGTGATATTATTTTTGAGTTGTCTTGTAACATACTTTAAATCATGTTTCTTTAATCCTAATAGTAAGATCTTAAATTATGTGTTGTTTACAGGGGAACTCTCTTCAGAGGCTGTCACTACAGCTAATGTTATTGCAAATATGGACAAGCTGTTTGATTGTGTCAACGCATGCACACCAGACCTAAGAAGGGGGAAACCATATTCGACAAACATGACAAATAATACACCACATCTCACACATTTCACTTTAATGAAGAATTTTTTTAAAGAAATGACGTTTTTGGGATGCAAACGAGCTCCTCCATCCCAAGAAGGTTGGATATGGTCCATCAATGGAATAGAACGAATTTGGAGAAATCTCAGTTCTAAACATAAATCAATAAAAAGTTTGGAAACAAGAAAGCTCCAGCAGGACCCGTTAGAAAATATTTTTGGATGCATTCGGGCCAATTGCGGCTGCAATTCAAATCCCACTGCTGGGCAGTTTGTTGCGGGTCTTAAAACGGCTGTCCTTAGCAACTTAGCTTTTATTGGGACAGGAAATTGTGAAGAAGACCAAAATCAAGTTATATTGACAAATTTTAAATCTTTATTGTCTCCACCCACAGACACACACACTGCTTATGCCACAATTTTAACGGATGAGTTAGAAGAAAGTGTAAATTCTACATTTGAATGTAGCTTGGAAGAAAGCAGTGGCGAAATACAAGCATGTGCCTATGTCTGTGGGTTTATAGTAAAAAATAATCTCAACAAATGTGAAATTTAAAAAAAAATTTTTGTATCTGAGACACAAGAGAGATCACATACTTTTATTGACTTTAAAGAATATAGTGATCTAAAAAAGTCCCTTAAATACGCCTCTAAAAACCTCATTAACTGTATTGAAAGTAGTGCTACGATGATTTATGATTTTTTAGAGGCAGAAGCATATAAAAAAAAATTAAAAGGGACAATTAAAGTTTTGTTCAAAAACTCAATAAATTGGGAGTTTCTCGATGAATGTCCAGAACATAAAGATATGAATATAGATTACTTATTTAATAGCGTATTTCATATTTGTATGAAGAGATTTTGTATTTTGAAAAATCGGCAATTTGCAGAAGAGTACTCTGCATCTGCTCTTAAAAGAAAAATTGATATCCTGCAGAATAAATAAGATATTACATGGAACTACTTTTTCTGTATGTACAGTCATAATCACTTCAGTGGTGACATTATATAAGGAGATAAAAGGAGAGGGAGGATTTGTCCTCTCTCGAGAGAGGCTGCCAAGGAGTGACTAGCGCTGATGAGGCTACGGATGTGTGTAAAAGTGTACCCGTAGTCCTGCCGATAAGTGGTGAAGATGAAACATCTGAGAGTTTTAGTCGGAGTGGGTCAGATATTCCTTGCTTCCGCGAGGCAGGTAGGATTTAAATATAAGTTTTTTTTTTTAAAAATATTTGCCATATAGAGCCACTTTTGGATTTTGAATATAGTATTTTCGAAACTATCACTTTACTGGTGCGAATCATACCTTACAGTCTTTTTATCGTTTAATGTCGGATAGTTTATTAGTCACCCTACAAACAATCGTATTAATAATAATAATAATAATAATAATAATAATATTTTTTTATTCAGACTCAGTCCATAGAGATGTTAGTATAACAAAAAAAAAAAAAAAAAAAACTTAAGACTAGTGTTAGTAAATAAGTTCTCTTTCTTTATATTCTTAACTTATCAAATTAAACATCCCGCGTACATTACATATATCTCACTTATTTAGTTTTACATGTAGACTCAACCAATGCCTCATAATGGCCGAGTCCCACCTATCAGCAAGTGTGTTTAGAATGCTGTTGGTTGAGTTACGCAGACGACTCAGTAACGAAGCAGACCTTTTACGAATAATGGCATGAAAGCCATCCGTGTGTGCCTCAGCGAACATAGCAGAGGCACTACAATAACGCGGCAATCCCAACAGCACCCTGAATGCATTATTATATTGGACACGCAGGACGTTGTATGCCCGCTGCGTATATCTAACCCACAAGTTGCATGTGTAAAAGCACTGACAATACGCTTTAAAAAGCGTTACTTTTACTTCTTTAGTACATCGTGCAAACCTGCGGGCCAGCATATTACAGCGAACAGCCAACGCCCTGCGTTCCCTTTCTATATCTAAGTCATCATTTAAGTCCTCTGTTACCCAGTGGCCTAGGTACTTAAATTTGACGACTCTCTTTAAAGGACTATCACAAAGTTTAACAGTAGGCATGGTGAGCTGCCTTTTAGTGCCTGAATTAAAAACCATAAGCTCGCTCTTTGTTACATTATATTTGAGCCCATGCGTCTTTGCATAGGATTCACAGATTCCTAGCAGCCTTCTGAGTGCACCTATCGTGGGACTCAGCAGCACCATGTCATCTGCATAGCTTATATTATTTATACAAATTCCGTCTATAGAACAACCGACTTTAGTGCTGCTGAGCTCCACAATCAACTGGTTTATGTATAGGTTGAAAAGCGTAGGCGAACTCAACCCTCCTTGTCTGACTCCACACTCCAGCCCATACCTCTCAGAAAAGCTACTACCCCATCGAACATAGTTTATTTGGTTACTATACCAATATTTAAATACGGAAATAATCTCCTGGGGCAAATTAGTCTCCTTCTGTAACTTTCGCCATAAGATATCATAAGAGACTAGATCGAAAGCTTTTGATAGATCTAAAAAACAGGCATACACCGGTGTTTTTCTATCTGTGTAGTACCTTACAGTCTGCTTAAGACATAAAATTGCGCTCTCTGTGGATAATCCAGGTTTGAAACCAAATTGTGCATCATGCAGATGAATATGCTTTCGCAATTGTCTGTCAAGGAGACTGTCCAGCACTTTAGCTATTATGGTGGCTAGTGAGATTGGCCTGTAATTATTTAAGTCTGATGTATCTCCCGTTCTGTTCTTAAGAATAGGCACCACAATGGTCTTCATGAGATCAGTCGGAAGATACTGATGTGCTATACATAAACTTAGAAACATAGCCAACACTCTTGGCAGGTGGGCACCAGCATGTACCAGATGTTCAATACTAAGCCCATCATGCCCTGGTGATTTGCCCCTAGTCATAGAATTTATTACTTCAGAGACTTCTTTGGGAGATATCCTTATACACGATCGTCCAAGACGTTCACTATCGATTACTCGCGAAGACGGACCGCGTGGTGACTCTACTTTGAAATGATCCTTAAATAGATTGGCTATGTCTCCAGGCTGGCTTTGACCCTGAATATTAGCGGGAAGGCTTGACTTGGGACTCAGCTTATTCGTAAGTTTCCAAAATTCTTTAAATTTCTTTAGGGAGTGACTTGATGCGATCTTGTCCATTTTTAGTTGTTCTGCGTTATTTTGACACCATTTTAACTTTGATTTAAAATCTCGTCTAGTTTCACACATTTTATTATAATAATAACCCGAAGATGGCTTACCGTATTAGACCCAAGTTTGAAAGGCAAGTCGAGCCTCCCCGTGGGCACTTCTAACATATTTGTTCCACCCCGCAACATATTTCCTATTCTTTTTGTTATTATAACTATTTTGCGCTGATTCTCTAAGAATAGTAACAATATTACCGTACATAGTATCTAAAATTAATTTATGATTATCATTTATACATATATCATTACAACAACTTTTAAATTCTTGTGGAAAATTTACGTCCTTTAATTTAGAGTGACACAATTTTTTATAAGTTTCTATTTGGTTATTATTTCTGTCACCCCAAATTATTTTATTATTACAGAAATAACTTATTACATTCTTTTCTCTCAATAAGTTTATATTGCACTCCACCAGTAATGGAACATGATCCGACCAGTAAGTATCATACAGTACTCTGCAATCTATGACTGAGCGCCTTGCGGCCTCAGTTACAACGCAATGATCCAACCAGCGCCGACAACCATGCGCATCACTAGTGTAAGTAAAGCTGTCCGCTGGGAGGACCTCCAAATCAACACAAATCAACTGCTGATCCGTGCAAAAATTTATCAGTTCATTATGAAATAATGTACCGGGATGGGAATTAAAGTCACCTAACGCAAATACAGTGTCGACATTTTCATTTTCAATAATAGCACTTATCTCGCTCATACACGATGTAAATTCTATTAAATTGTCTACTGAATCCGTTGGCATATAAACGGAAAATATTATGTAAGTTCGGTCACTATGGAACACTTTAATTGCCGTGAGACGCACACTACTACATTCGATCACACTGACACAATCAAACGCGTTATTTCTCCACAAGAGCGCCACGCCACCATAGGGTCTACCCGTGAGTATACCGGCCGATGTATCAACTGCTGACTTACCAGTGTAGCTGAAGTCTTGATGTATCCCACCTAAAAACGTTATGTCATCAGGTAGAAGCCATGTCTCCTGTAGCGCTAGCACGTCGGAAGTTTCACACAGGTGTCTTACGCATTCTAAAGAGCGTTTAACAGATTTACAGTTGAAGCTAGTAAATTTTGCTGTACTATGCATTAGCTATTTTTTTCTTTTTTAACACATTATCTGAGGCCTCTTGCTGTCTGTACTTAAAATGCACAAATCTTCTAAACGAGATTCCGTCCGGCCAAAGGTTATCATTTAAAAATACTGCAAGTTTTTGTTTGGACACGTAAAGCTTGTAGGCATTGTATCCTTTGTCTTTTTTCATTGTCACTTTTTCTAGTGTGACTAACTCATTGGTTCTATTTTTAATATAATCGACGATATCTTTTTCTAGCGTCTCTTTATGTACGTTAGATATAAATAGTGGAATTTTCAAGTCCGCTGATTTAAATTTCTCCTCCGGTTTTACTTCTGCTTTTCCAGTCGTCCCTATAAAACGGTTACGCAATCTGCGCTTTTGAACTTTTATCCAGCCCTCTGGCGGTTCTTCATTTTTCCAGGCTTCACCTTTTCTCAAAATTTTGGCCATAGTTAGCGGAGTCTCAAAATTAACGTCTAAAGATGTGTTTTTTATTACTGACCTATTGTTAGTAGGCCTATTCACTACAATTGTTTTGCTTTTACTCGGTGAGTTGTGAGTTGGAATAGTAGTTGCACTCGCGCTTCCTGTGCCGGGCGGTTGTCGACCATCTGTACCGTTACAAACAGTCACGCCTCCATCTGTAAAGAGGTCCGCCTTATGCATATCTGACGCAGGTGTGAGTGCATCAACACTATCACGAGCACGACTAGTTACATGTGCGATAGGTATATTTTCCATCTCCGTCTGTATATCCGTTGTTTGTAACGGTACCTCAGCTGTTGATAACTCGTGTGACAAGCCCATCGGTCCACTGTCTCGAAACGGAGTACCCACATCTAACAAGTAGGCGCTGCACATTCTACCTACATTTTGATGATGAGCTGGTGATGTGGATGCTTTTAAAAAATATTTATCTTTCCTTAGTTCTTCCAGGTACGTTTTGGTTACATAATTATCCTTGATGAGCTTTACCTCCTGTTGCAACAAAACTATATCCTTCAGCAAGCGAGTTACATCCACATGATCGAAGGTGATCGGCGGAAGTTTTTGTAGGTCACGAGCAACAAAAGTCGGTGTAATATCTGGGTCTGTTTCTTTGAATACACTTATGATGTCCTCTAATTCCCTTTGGGACTTCCCATCTGTACGCCGAGTTAATCTTCCATCTCTACGTCTTATATTTTTTCTTTTACCCGAGGGCAATGAATCGAATAACAAACTTTTTGCAATTGTGATATCTTCAGCTGTAAAAGCACTGCTACAAATTCGGACAATGCTCTCCTCGTCCATCACATCTGCCTTGTTTTGTATAAAGGCAAGCACTTTACTTATAACAATATTACAGTTTGTACATTTTACCACTTTAGATGCCATTGTCTTATCGTACAATGACCTTTCGCTTACGCTCAAAGCGAACACGTGTACGCGCTTTGCCGTTCCGAGCGCGACGATTGTATTGCTATGCAACTAACTTTTAAGTTTACTGTGGGATATGGATAACACATACATTTGTATTTTTTATAGAATTTAGCAAGTAAATGCTGTGACACTTAGACATCTACCTGTATTATCGAAAAATAATAAATAATAACTACTTAACTATTAAATCGATATTTAGTTAAGAGCTGTTGAGAACTGTTTACATGCATAAAGTTAAAAATTAGTTAATTACGTATATATCCATGTAACATCTTATTTATTCTGCAGGATATCAGTTTTTCTTTGAAGAGCAGATGCAGAGTACTCTTCTGCAAATTGCCGATTTTTCAAAATACAAAATCTCTTCATACAAATGTGAAATACGCTATTAAATAAGTAATCTATATTCATATCTTTATGTTCTGGACATTTATCGCGAAACTCCAAATTTATTGAGTTTTTGAACAAAACTTTAATTGCCCCTTTTAATTTTTTTTTATATGCCTCTGCCTCTAAAACATCATAAATCATCGTAGTACTACTTTCAATACAGTTAATGAGGTTTTTAGAGGCGTATTTAAGGGACTTTTTTAGATCACTATATTCTTTAAAGTCAATAAAAGTATGTGATCTCTCTTGTGCCTCAGATACAAAATTTTACTTACTTACTTACTTATCTTCACGCACAATCCCTGACGGGGTAGCCAGAGAGAACAGATCGCCAAGTGTCACGATCCTTACATACCTCTTTCGCTTCTTTTAGATTCATTATATTCTTCATACATGCACGTCTAGGTATCCGAGTACTCTTGACCCTACCCTCTTCGAGCAATTTGCTCACATGGTCTTCGAAAGTTAGTCTCGGTCTACCTCGACACCTTTTAATATTAACTTTCGCGCTATATATTTTCTTCACCATTCGGTCTTCACTCATTTGCTCAACGTGCCCAAACCACCGAAGCACGCCCTTATCAATTTTTGTGATAAGGTCATCTTTCAAACCTGCCATATTGCGAATCTCTTCGTTTCGCTTTCGGTCGGCCATGGTAACGCCGCACATTTTACGAAGAGATCGCATCTCCACTGCATTCAACTTGCTTTTATGCTTCTTCTGGCATACCCAGGTTTCGCTGCCATATAACAAAGTCGGTACCAACACTGCGTTATGTATTGCAAGGCGTGCACTCTTCACTACGCCTTGCCTTTTGACTAACGCAGTCAGGGCACCATTGACTTTGTTCCCGGCAGCGACACGCCTGTCCACATCTAAATCACATCTTCCATCCCGGCTGAAAGCACTCCTTAAGTATACAATTTCATTTACCTGTTCTAGACATTCCTGATTTACCCATATTTCACACTTCGTTCTCTCTTCGTCCCTTTCAAATACCAGAACCTTAGTTTTATTAGCATTCAAACGGAGACCTTTAATTTCACATTCCTCTTTCATACACGTGACTAATGCCTGCAGTTCTGCCTCTGATGGTGCAATAAGCACTGCATCATCAGCATACAGCAGACAATTTACTTTTATGTCACCCGATTTCACACCCACTCAGCTATTTTTCAGCTTTTGTAAACAGCTGTCGAGATACAGTATGAACAGCCAGGAAGACATGACACAACCTTGTTTTACGCCCGTTTGGACGCTAAACATGGGTGACAGGTCATGCCCTACCCGCACACAGGCTTTACAGTCACAGTAAAGAGACTGCACAGCCCTTAGCAATCGGCCATCCACACCATACCCCGGCAACAGTTCCCACATTTTCTTCCTTACAACCTTATCAAATGCTTTCTCAAGATCCACAAAAGCACAGAAAATCTTCTGGTTAGCAGCCAGAAGCTTTTCCGTGATCATACGGAGAGAAAACATTTGATCCGTGCATCCTCTTCCAGGTCTAAATCCGCATTGTGCCTCCCATAGAAATCTTTCCGATTTCTCTTGCATCCTACGTGTCAAAACCTTCGAGTAAACTTTACTTGCTAAACTGGTCAAGCTGATCGCCCGATAGCACCCGCAGTCAAAATGTGAACCTTTACCTTTATATAAAGGCACAATGACTGCGGATCGCCAATCATCCGGGACATCCCCCGTCCGCCAGCACAAATTGCACAGCAGATGAAAGCTGTCCCAGACGCGAGGCCCACCATACTTGACCATTTCAGCAGTAACTCTGTCTAGTCCCGCAGCCTTACCACATTTCAAACTTCGAATCGCACGTTCAATCTCTTTCATACTGAAGACCTCAGTGTCATCGAGGTCCGGGTCTGGCGTACCAGTCACGGCGTTATCCCCGGATCCCTCACTAAGATCATCACACGCATACATTTCTCTATAAAATTCGCTCCATCGCTGCATGACGTCCGATTTTTCTGAGAGGACGTCATTAGTTCTCGAAAGCACTTTGTTCATTCTTAAGGCCGTCGCACCACTTCGGGTCCTTCCAACCTTTTTCCAGAAGAGTTTGGAGTTCTCCTTAAAGTTGTGCGACAACCTTTCATCCGCTTCCATTCTACACCTTTCACGCACTTCCTCAATCAATGCTTTCGTGTGAACTTTCTGCAGCTTATATCTTTCTTTCATCTTCTCTCTCATATCCTTATCATTACTAGAGGCCAAGTAGTCTAACCATGCTTTCTTCTTCTTCTTTACAGCTTCTTTCACTTCATCATTCCACCATGCATCTCTTCTTTTACTACTGCCTCTTTTTATTGTTCCACACACTTCTTCCGCTGCACTTACCATTCCATCCCTAAGGTTCTGCCAAGTTCTTTCTACACATTCTTTTCTGCCATCGATGGTGTCAAGCTTTTCGGCTACCCTCGCATGATATTTGTCCCTAGTATCCGCTTCCTGAAGCTTCCAGCTTCGGATGCGACAGACCGACTGTGGTTTTGTCACTGTCGTCCGGTAGCGCCAACCCGCGAACAGACTCCTAAATCTAGTAATCACTACATAGTGATCCGTTCCCAGGTCAGCACCCCTGAACACTCGCGTATCCATAACCTGTTTTCGCAGTCGGTCATCCACCAGGAACAAATCGATCATACTTCTCTCATTCTTTCTTTCTCTAGTATACATATGGATTTTCTTGTGATTAAACATAGTGTTTGTCACAAGAAGACCCTTTTCCTTGCATACCGCCAGTATAAACATGCCAGCATCATTAACCCTTTTATCGCCAAACTTTCCAAGTACCGACTCGTACCCTGGTCGAGCGATACCAACCCATCCATTCAAATCACCACATACAACAATTCTTTCGTTTCCCCTAGCCAAATCTAGAACTTCTCTTACATTCTCCCAAAACTCCTCCAGCTCAGCCCTGGACGACGAAGCTACCGGCGCATAAACAGCCAAAAGGAATAACTTCGTCAGTCCCAATTTAAAGCGAACCCAAAGAAGTCTTGAGTTCACAAACTTATATTCAGTCATAACATCGACCAATCGAGAAGACAGCAGCACCCCCACTCCCTGGCAGGCGTTCTCGCTCTCCGAGACTCCGGACCATAGAGCAAACGCCCCACCAGGGAACTCTTCAGTACCACTGCCCTTCCGTTTGGTCTCCGACATACACACGACATCTAATTCTCTTTCTTTCATTATTTCGATCAACTCATTCGTCTTATCTCTCATGCCTCCTCTAACATTCCACGTGCCAACTCTGCACTCTGTCCTCCACCTTCCGCCGTGTCGGGCTGTGCGTGACGGGTGGCGGTCCCCATCGCCGCTTTGCGCGCTGCATTCCACACCAACGGGGACGAGCTGGTGTGCGTCGCCTTGGGGGGACGCCCTAACCCTCGTTGACATGGGTGCGCAGCTGAGTAGAATTGCAGCCCTGAAAAGGGCTGGCAGGGGTCGCGACGAGCACGCTTCTACAATGAATTTTGTTTACAAATTTCACATTTGTTGAGATTATTTTTTACTATAAACCCACAGACATACGCACATGCTTGTATTTTGCCACTGCTTTCTTCCAAGCTACATTCAAATGTAGAATTTACACTTTCTTCTAACTCATCGGTTAAAATTGTGGCATAAGCAGTGTGTGTCTGTGGGTAGAGACAATAAAGTTTTAAAATTTGTCAATATAACTTGATTTTGGTCTTCTTCACAATTTCCTGTCTTAATAAAAGATAAGTTGATAAGGACAGCCGTTTTAAGACCCGCAACAAACTGCCCAGCAGTGAGTGCCTTCTTGTTTCCAAACTTTTTATTGATTTATGTTTAGAACTGAGATTTCTCCAGATTCGTTCTATTCCATTGATGGACCATATCCAACCTTCTTGGGATGGAGAGGCTCGTTTGCATCCCAAAAACGTCATTTCTTTAAAAAATTTCTTCATTAAAGTGAAATGTGTGAGATATGGTGTATTATTTGTCATGTTTGTCGATAATGGTTTCCCCCTTCTTAGGTCTGGTGTGCAGCTTGCGTTGACACAATCAAACAGCTTGTCCATATTTGCTGTCCATATTGGCTCAACACTTGTGCAGCTAGCTTCACATTCATCTTCTGCTTCGTATTTGGATTTAAATGTTCTTGTTTTAAGCAAGGTTCAAACATAAAATTGGGATTGGTGTTATCTGTTTCATAAAACTCCTTTATATGGCTCCATTTAGCAACACCTGTAAAAAAAATTTGTGTAAATATCCAGTAAATTGGAAATATGTATAATATTATGATTGTAATAAAACAAAATATCTAATCTTATCAAATCAAATTTGATCATTTGATGTTATATTTGTTGGACATTTAATGTCATATTTTAAAAACATATTTCTAAAGCATTTCAGCAAATGCGGAGTATCAAAAATGGTAACCACTTCTCGATTATTTAGCAGAATATATGGCTGTTCTACAGATGCTCCCAAGATACTTAAAGCTCTCTTATTCACAACATCCATATCACACATTGTAGCTGAAATATTAATTCCAGCATCAAAACAATGTTGCAGGACCTAGAATGATAAAAGGGTAAATTAATATGGTAAAAAAGTACTACTACATATATTGACATAATAACAAATAAAAGACCATAATGCTCACCTCCTTAGAATAATAATAAGCAATTGGTTGTTTCAGCTTTTTACGGATTCCGCCAATCATGAACACGAGGGCATGTGTTGCCATTTGTGGTGACCTGCCCTGCAATGCATGGTCTTGATAACCCTCAATTATGTCTTCCTTTTTGTTGTAAAACAAATTCTTTTTTATTGACATCTCATCAAACATAAGGATATACTCATTGACTGAGGGAGTCTGTTGCTTTATTGTTTTTTTCAAAACATTAAAAATTTGGTCATTAATACCAACTTTCATATGAAACTTGCTTAATAACGCTTTTATTGAACTAGGTGTTGGCAGTGTAACGAACCCCCCCCCCCATCTTTTTTCTCTTTTCTACTATATCCCACTTATACTATTTCTTTAGAATCTATATCTGTAAGATATATAAATACATCTAATTTACGTGACCAGTATAACTTGATCTTTCTAAAGGTTTAAATATAGGCCGTTTAATAAATTTATGGCTTCACCTACTAAGCACTCTTGTGCTATCGAAATTTCGAGACCATTAGATGGAACTTTCTTTAAATAATTGGTGAGATCTTCCAAAAATGATACTGGATGAGTATTTCCATTTCCGAATTTCGGCTTTTCTATTGTTACATTATGTACATTATATACAATATTTTGTCTAGGATCATTTACATGAGAGGTGCTCGCCCCGGACACCTCTCCTTGATTTATTTTAATTTGGTAATCTTTCGTTTGGTTAATAAATTTTTCCTCAAGATCCTTTATTTTAACCTCAAAGGTTTTCACTGCATTCTTAATTAATTTCTGAAGCATTTTCATCTCATCTTTAGGCTTAGCCTTAACTGAGGTTGATTTTTTCTTATTTTTAGCCATTTTAAGTTTTATTTCCACTTTTTTTTGTGATCGTCTTAGTTAGGACCCTTTTTTACGTTGTGTTTGTATAGTAACTTAGTTCTTTTAGGTGTATCTTGGAAGAATGAATATTCACGAGAGCAATCAAAAGCTGTTGGTAGAGTCTTATAAGCTAAAGAACCCCGTTCACGAAGACAGAGCTCAAAAAGGTTAAGAACAATAAATTGTCCCTATTCCACTTGTATCTGGTTCACAACAGTCAATTCCTTATTAATTAATCCCTTCCCGCTTGGAAAAGGCTCACAATATTTATATCAAATACCAGTTACAAGGGCTTCGCTCTCCCACATTTAAAAAAATGTGGAGGAGGTACACGGCCCCACACACGCCGCGCACGGTGAGCGCCAACCATTTTAATGCGCTCCCCCAGAAGGGTACGCAAAGTTGGGAACTGGACCGTAGTCCACAGCAAAATAACTGGCGAACCAGTAAAAGAGGACTTGGTCCCTTGATAGTGCGTAAGCACAAACATCGACCGAAGTCGCGCATGTCAATGCGTGTAAACGCCATACAGAATCCGATCAAATCCAGCCACAGTGAAATGTACGTCACACGGGTTAGGCAACAATCGGCACACTGACCATAAAAAGCCTTCCGTGAGCGCCACCACCTGCCAGACCGCCGTTCCTGCAGACGTGATGTAAGTGTAAGGCATCACCACCAATTGCATGGTCAGCACGGCCAATTGGCCGCAGAGCATGTCATGAGTCTACCGCTCACCTCAAGGGAATGGGGTCCCACATTGCGCGGCTTTCGGCCGCAGCTTTGAGAGCCTCCTCAGATTCTCCCTCCAGCTACCACCCGCATGAGGTCAACACATATGCTCCACCAACCAATACAATGGCAGATATAGCCAATAGGCAGTTATAAGATAATATTAATAATTCGCCATCAGAAAGGGTTTGTGTCTCTGACGTTGAGTATATGCATTTTTCGATCATGTTTGTCTCACCCACCAACAAGTTGCCTTCAATCTCTCAAAGGTGGGAACTTTATAGAGATATATTATTAAGTTGTTATATAAAACATCATGGAGGGCAGACAGTCTGCAGCCCCGCAATGAAGGGACCCGACTTGGGCAAAGCTACTTAGGTTGTGAGTCAAACCAAGACGCAGAGAGCGCCATTGAGAATAGCGACCCGCCAAACAACCATCGTAGAGACGCAATGCTACAGAATGCAACAAGCATCAATACGACTATCGTCGGGCTTACACCATCCCAAGGTCCCCCATACAGTCCCAGCAGACATCACCACCCGCATACCTCCATCGACCAGAACCACAAGATGCATCGAATCAGGTGCAGCACACCCGCAGATCCATCACAAGACACAATACTGCAAGTAGCAGTAAGCATCAATGCAACTATCATACGGATGGCGCCCCCTCACAACACACCCACATGATCCCTATCGACTTTGGTAACAAAATTTGATAATGTTGTTAACTAAAAATACCACTAACGTATCATAGTAGTACGGTACTAAGACGTCAGTAGCCAAAACTCCACGTATCATAGCGCTATTGCACTAAGACATGAAGTTGAGTATGCTTGCTGCACTTAAAAGTACTACCAAACACACTCACCCTAATCCGAAAGATAGCCGACGTATCATAACGCTATGCGCTAAGACGCCGCCCACAACCGGTAGGGGTGTGCGATGTCCACGGGCAAGTCGTATTGCTACAACAAACCCGCTTACCACCGGCACTAAGATGATATGTCTAGGACACATCGGTTAGTGAGTCCAAGTTTACCTCGGTCTCAGAGGCTGCGAAGCAACCTACACGCCACTATAATAATCCTTTTCAAGTCCCATTTCTTTCAATATAATGCTTTTACATATTTGAGACCTTCCACATATTTGCTTTATTTCATAGACCATACTACTGTATGTCTTATTCATATGGGACTTCAAGTCATAACTCTGCTATCATAATGCTTATGCATCATAGAGACCTTCTATATTAATGCTTTGGTTCGTCAGACCTTACTATGTTAAGTCCCTAATATAGGACTAGTCATTGTGCAACCTTAGTACTAGCAATCGGTCAGCCGACCACCCCATATATATGTACAACCTTGGGTATGTGTCTCCGACAACGCCCCAATATAAGGGAACATTACAAGAACACGTTCATTAACTTAGAAATTTTCCAATTATTACACGAACACCTTCATCAACTTAGAAAATTTTAATCCATTTTTTCTATTATATTTCAAATGTTATTTATCTTTGTTATTGCAATATAATCGCCTTGTATTTATATGATTTGATACATTTTGAACATTTTAAGCAGGTTTTTAATAAATTTAGAGATTTTTAGAGACATTTTATGCGTTTACTAATATACAGGGTATTTTTGGAACGCTCCCGAAAACTAAGACAGGCGACAGCACCAAGTATACCTTTGATCATGGGTTACAAATAAAGTCGATCCTGATGAAAAAAAAATCATCTTTTAACAACGTTTTATTAGCTTTACTCACGCGCCATCATGTTAGTACAGCTAAATGAAACGATAATTTCATAAAAAATATCATGAAAATACTGAAACATAAAACCAGCAGTGGAAACTGAATTGATATCACCTGACTAATGGAGGTTAATGTACGCGCGAACGGTGAAAAACAAACGCTGGCCTTGAACTTGGGCACTGAGCGATTTATCACATATTGGTACGAAAGGCGCGCGACGGGGGAACAATCCGCCAGTATTAGTGTGCCTGCATGCTATTGGTTCCCGCGCTTTGTTCGCTCCAAAAATACAGTCGCATACACAGCTTACTTTGCGACTCGCGACGATGTTTTAAAAAGGAAGGAAAGAAAAATTATTTATATCTATTGTTTTATGACTAAACTAGTGATCGAAAAGGTAAATATGATAGGAGAAGGTGAATGGGGAAAATTGTGCAGTAAAGTTAAAAGTGTGGAGGAAGAATACCGAAAAAATTACCATGTGATCGACCTGATGACGGAAGCTCAAGCGAAGATGAAAGTGATGATCAAGTAGCATCCAGTAACACCAACACACCATTAACATCTGGCTTCCATGTGACCCAAGACGTCATAATGGACGGCGTGTTACCCTTAGCTAAAGTTTTCTTGTTACAAACTACTTTATATTTTACGATAGAAATAACAAATAATGCTCATGTAAACATTATCCATTTTTAATTCCCACCTCTTCCAAAGTTCTAAGTAGCTAGTAAAACACCTATTATGATTCTACATTAAAACAATTAATTACTATAATATTATAAAACAATAGCCCAATACCATGTAGTACTTTAGAACGCGATTGTACCCACACCCCCTCCGCTATCGACCTGTATCTAGCTCGGTACGAAACACGCGGTCGTAAGAAAAAAGGGCGCATCTAACAATTTATGAATAAATGAGTTAAATATACCATACGATTCATGATAAGAAGGCGCATCTACTAAATTTTTTTAATATTCACAAATATCAATATTTTAGAAATTATCGTAAGAATTTTAGACGTAACTGTTGATCACAGATGACTTTTTTTAGTAGAAAAGACTTATACAAATTCAACATAAAAGAAAAGACTTATTTAACCAGTTGCTACGTCATCTTTAACAATATTTGCATCGATTACTTAAATTTCAATTATTCTTGGTCTTGTCTTATTATTCTATATCTTATTATTAAGAGCTTATATCTTATTGTTAAGAGCTGGTGTTTCACATGTGGTCCCATATAAATTTGATCGAGGTCAGACCAATAGTTTTTGAGTTATCCTTAATTATTTATATTAAAGTCGGTTGTACAAAATTTTTAATTTTTAATTATTATCGTAGTAAGTCTTGTATGATATCCCCTTTAAAATCATTACTTTTTAAAATTATTATTTTTTGTGTCTCACTACCAATGCTTTTCTAATATTTATTAAAAAAAAAGTAGTAAATTACTATTAGCGTCCTTTCAACTTCAAATGACCTTTCCAAAATATGTAAAATTGTTAAATGAATGGCAGTTTTTTTTTTAATTTATTAGGTTGGAAAGACGCAAATAGTTATATGCGTCTTTCCTTCGATGTTTTTGTGTTGCCAGGTGTATTTTTTAAGCTAAGATGAAAAGGAAAATTCGTTTTATTTAAATAAATAAACAAATTTAAAAAAAAAATAAATTCGTCCTTAAAATCTTCATGTCTCTACGTATATATTTCAATAAAGATACCTTTTAATATACTTTAGACACGGGGTCTGAAAGAAAAATTCATCAATTTATTTTTTATTTCCATTTTACGTTTTTGTTAGTTACTTCCTTTTTTATTATGACGGCAGAATGCCTAACCCTGTCGCCTCACGCTTGTGACGCAGTAATTTTCAGCCTTGACGGG